TGGAAGAAAATTGCACGTCAGGGATCAACAACAGAATTTGCTCAAGGGCACAGATCTGTTTCAGCAGAAAGTGAAATTCTGAGACCCAAGTTTCCCTTAAGTGGGAAGTGACTTTTGTCGCCGTCTTATCATAAAAGCATCTCAGGGGTTATTTTGATTTTATAGAGTTTTAAAACTTACTTTCATGAATTAAATCCGCATATTTTCATCTCCACTGGCATTGACTGATGAGCTGGAAACTCCGATCTCGTGCTTTTCCAAGAGGTGAAACGTAGCATACCTGCACGCTAACAGGTCGAGCTAGCGGCAGTGTAAGGAAGGGATGTTTTTTTTATGTGAACCAAATCAATGGTTTTCATTTTTATGATCAGTCAGGCAATTAAAAATAATGCCAAACAAAACTGAAAATGTAAGAAGATACTTAAAAGTAGTTTTCTACAACATGCAGGGACACGTTAGCGGCTATATTCAGGCAGTAATGGAGGAACAGAAAGCAAAAACTTTTAGCAGATCTCAACGTACTCGGTTAACGTAGGGAGTTAAACTCTGAAGGAACACACGCAAAGACTGCTGCTTCAGCAACGCATGATAAACATAATCTGTAAATATAAAGTGATAGCGATAGTTTGGAATAAGATTGGAATCCTTTTGTTATTGTTTAAGATGTTTTGTCACAACGCCTCTCTTTCAGCAAGAGAGAAAATAATCTCATTATGGTTCTTCAGAAATCAAAATTGGCTTAAATTGGTCTCAATGACAATCCACATGTGTCCAGATCGACTGTCTTCCTGTGTCACCTGTTAGCTGAAATACCACAGTGTCTTGGTTTATTTGACATCTTTCTTTTAAAGATCATGATGTAAAAATGCTGGTATCATAAAATATTTTCACCCAAATAAGTCAGTTATGTTTTAATAATTTAGGAAATGACTGATTTATTTTTTAGATTATTATTCTGATTTGATATGAATACACACCTGATGAATATTAAGTGGGATCTTTTAGTTAAAGTTTTCTTATAATAATTTGTGGTGGTTTTTTTCTTCTTTTTTAATGAAAAATGAAGATTGTAATTAGGCAAATATATTACCATGCTATTGATTTCAATACAATTTAATATTCAGTGAGAAAAAAAAAATCCTTCACTAAGCAATCAGAGACTTGAAAGGGCAAGCAAGCAGGTAAGACGGAACAAAATGGTAATTAAAGGAGACATAAGGAAGGCCTCCCTAATGGATCTTTACTCACCAGCTCACAATGCTGGACATTATTATTTAAATTCAAATTGCTCCATACTGGATTCAGTGTGTGCATGTGGTTAGACCATGAAAGGTGCATGACTGAGACCTTATTGTGATGTTTATTTTCAACAATGAGGTTGAGCCTCTGTTAAAATACAAGACACAAAAGCACTGAGAGTGCAAAGGGGGACAGGAAACAACCTACTGGTCCACTTCCTTTAGCACGCAAACTCACAAACACACACTCGCATATTGACACGAACATAAAATCTACAGATTACACAATCTGTGCTCTACAGAGGAAATAAAATGCTGCGTTACGTTTAGTGATCAGCATGCATTGGGCCTCCAAGATGTACATGTTGCCCAAGATCAGACTGCAGTTCAAAAGCAAAGTGTATTTGTCATGCTGTCAAAGAGGACGGAGGGGAAGCAGCGTGAGCAAGCACTCTTATTGTTTGTACTTAACATTTTACAAGAGTTTGCAGATTAACTCAGAAAATAGCTTCAGGCAATAAGTCCTTGGTGAGATCACGTTGCAAGGATCCGTGACTAATTACTTCTGACTTGGTTTGCCAAGATATGCATTCCAGGTTCAAATCGTTATTCAGGATGGCTCTATTGGTGATGTGAACTAGTCTGTACACGAAAAAAAAAAAAAAAACCCTAACTTGCATCCTCTAAACTCTAAAAAGTTGATCAAACCCATCAGAGTTGTTCGTTTTTCACATCAAGCCTGAAACTGACGGTGGGGATTACAGAAACCTCCCTTAGGGAAATTGTACAAGTTCTGACAAAATTACCAAGTTTAGATGTGATACTCACGGCTGCAGCTTTGCTGCGTAACTAAGTTATTTACACAAATTTGGGTAGATTTGAAGCTTACCCAAATTAGTCACAATTCAACATTCAAAAATCTTGAAAATCTTGAGAAAGACTGCCGTGTTATAGTCTATGAAGACTTTAAATATCTAATAGCTTAGGGACATTGGTTTTACTAGTCATTTAATTTTTTTCATCAGGTTTTCATTTAATCAGGTTCCATCTTGTCGTCTTTTCTCTTTTCTGTTATGTTTAGAAATAAATCTTGTGTTTTGTACATTTTGCTATTGTTTATTATTTTTATCTTACCTACTATTAAAATTCCTGCAATGTGCTATTGTTCATTTCAGTTTCTTTTTTCTAGCAATGGTCGTTCAAAGTCACTTCTGGTTTTGGTTCCTTAATCATCATAACTTCCCAGTTTAAGCCGTCTTGCGATTAGTTTTATGTACATAGTTTTATCTACATCAGACCTTCAGATGTTCTTTTTCCACCAAGCTCTGTCAACACTCGTACTCTTGTATTTTGGTTGTATTTTTGACAATGTGCCTTTAAATTTGACTGTGTTTTGTTTTCCCTCCAGTGTTTTAGTTCCTTTGGGCCTTGCCATTGTCTCATATTGATGCATTTCATCAATTCATCCCAGCTGCAACTCAAGATAGTCGAAATAAGAATAATCAGATTCACTTTGTGACTGTTCAAACTGTTATGGTATTCCTAAGACACAATTAGACAAATGGAACATTTTTATTGCAGTGTGTAGAGTTAGAAAAAAATCATACATTTTAAACTATATTTTAAGTTTTATATGATGAATCGATTTTATTTGTTGCATTTGCAAACATTTAACGTTTTTTTTAATGTAATGCAGGTTCTGTTCAATAAAAGTTGTTTCTGTGACTTGCAGCAGGTTTTAATTCAGCATATGGAGTATTTTATTTTTTTTATTTGCAAAGCTGAAAAAAACTTAATCGCACAATATTTCCGAAGGAGAACTAATAGAAGATGTTGAGGTTGTATTTTCTGCCCAAAAACAAACTGAGTGAGCTGCTTCTTTGCAACAGACCGTAGCAGACTGGTATGTCATCAGTGAGCAGAGGCCATGAGCCAGTTAAGCTCCTAATGATAGCTTTTCCCTTTGCCACAGACTAAAATCAAGACCTGCTGCATAAACCAACTTGGTGCAACCACTTAACCCTCATCTGCTCTTCCCCCATACCGAGCTAAAAAAAAAATAAAAAATGTTCCTGTATTTGTATGCAAATCTCGGAGAGTCACAGGACCATCTTGCATTCACACCATTTATTTGACAGCAGCAACAAGCCTGAAAACACCTGCCAGAGGTAATGATCTCAGTGCTGGAGTTGTTTCCTAACCCATCAGCTTCAAACTGTTTTGTGCAACAAGAATCAGCTCTCATTTCTTTTATACAAATGCATACAAATTAATTAAGTGGTTATAGTTCAACAGTGAAAAATTCAATGCCCTGAATAAACAAGTTCAGCTAATGATGTCCCATTAGGTAAAATTTAAATTTATTTTTTTCTTTAAAAAAAAAAAAAAAAGCGGTTGAATATTGGTATATCATATCTTGTGCTGAAATCATATTCATTGCTTCTCTTACATTCATTTTTCTCAGTTCATTTCAGTGCATAGATCTATGTGGCCAACCAGCGTTCATCCGTTCTATGATTGTCTATACTCACTTATTCTTGCAGGGCCAAAAGGTCAAGGCATGGGAGGAAAATGATACATGGGATAAGTATATGTATTCATCCCCTTTTCTCTGACACACCTAAATTTAATCCGATGCAACCAGCTTATAGCATATCCAGCTGTTCCATCAAGGCCTCAGAGGTTTTTCTTAGAGAACGTCGGTGAACAACCATGAACATAGCAAACAGGTCAGAGGTGATTTTGATCAAAGTTTTTAAAAAAATTGTTTGGTTATAAAACAACAAACCTCTCAAAATCTTCAGAAATCAGAAAGAGTGCAGCACACCACCAAACCTGCCAGTCAGAGATGCAGCCAAAAGACGTACAGCGATTGATTTTTTTCAGGTGGAAGAATGTGTCACGAGAACAAATATTAGTGGTGCATACGCCTGTCGCGATAAACGATAAATCAATTAATCGCAGGATAAATCAAACCTATCAACCTCATTTTAATTATCAGCTTTATCGTCTCTTCCTGCCTTTTTTCTTTCTATTGATGACTCTGAATGAAAAAAGCTCAACTCCGGTGCTCTTCACTGACCCTCCCTTCCTATTTCCTTAGTGTAATGTCCAGCTCACACTACACGAGTTGTCGGCCGACTGTCGGCCCATTTTCAAAACTTGAGAGATACATTAGCCGACAGAAATCCTGGGTATAACGGTTCGATCGGGTTCGTCGTGCCGTGTGGTGTCCAGCAACTAGGGCACAAAATAATGGCTACAAGTCCAGTTAACTAATTTTAAAATAGGGCATTAATCAATGCTTTACTAGAATCTACCTGTGATGCATGTGGCTAGAATCAGCGTAAAGTCCCGACTGAATGAAAATCATTATAACCTATTTATGTCACGTTAACGAAGAACAGTTGAAAAGTTACCGGGTTTATCAACTGCGGTAGCAATTTGGCTCCAACTCTTCTCCTTGTCATTTCTATATTCTTTGCACAAAATGTTAAATAAATATTAATGTTGTTTCCACATTTCATCTCCAATGTCCGGTGGACTTCGGGTTGCGCCGTGTCAGCTGTTTGGGATTCCCCTCATAATTTCCCCTCAGAAATCACGGAGGAGAATCCGCGCTTTCGGATTGGCTACCTGTCACATTCAACATGCTGCATTAAGCTCCCAGTCGGGAAAATCCCCGATTTAGATCGGAGGGGTCACGACGATCTACCGTAACACACCACACACTGCAGGATGATCGGTTACGAAACCTGCGACAATCTAGAGATTACTGAAGGGCACAAACAGACTTCATAATCTGCACTCGTTTGGTTGAATGCAGTATTTATTTCCACTTTGGCTTTATGTTGTTTAGTTTTTATTCAAGAATGTTTTTTGTTAATGAAGACTGAGAATCCATTTAATTTTGTTTTTGGTTGTTTTGTTAATTTAGTTGATCAGTTCCAGTGTTATTGTCATGATCTGTGTTCTGTGTATTTATTGTAGGTTTTTCTGTGTTCAGTTTCTGTCCTGTGAGTCTGTCTCTGCGTCTTCCTCTGTTGATTGATCCCAGCTGTGTCTTGTTCCTTGATCACCCTCCCAGTGTATTTAAGTTCACCTGTGTCCCTGGTCCTTGTCTAAAGTCGTTGTTTATGATAGTTCGTCTGCCGGCACAGTAGATCTGTGAAGTCGGCTTTAGCTCATCTTGTCAGTCTTTGTTAATTCAGTTGCTACAGGTGCTGAGCCTCTGTTTCCGCTCTGCCGTGCTGCCTGAGATCTGGTCTGTTTTGAGCTTTTCATCAATAAATTACCATTTTCATCTATATCCTGGGTCTACCTGCATCTCTCCTCACCATCACCAACCACTTCTTATGACAGATATGTGTTCTTTTGAAAATAAAGTGTATCTATCTATGGCAGGAAATCACATGCATTATTAGTCATTTCCATTAAATCAGTGTCAACTGGTCTTGAAACAATATTATTGTTTATCGCAATAATTTTTTAGACAATCGCTCAGCAAAATTTGTTTCAAATTTGCCTGTCATTCCAATTCACACTTATAGCTTATTCTGTGTTGGTCCCTGGCATAAATT